CAATACTAATACTCTCATTTGTAAAAATACTCAAATCAATAATAATTTTCAGGAGCAGTAGCAACAGAGCCTCAGGTTAAGACCAGCTTTGCTGGGGGGATGTGGAGTGTAATGTTTGGTCATGAATGTGGAATGGGCTGTTTTCTTTTGCATGTAGATGTTTGCTTTAGGAATGAACTGTAAGGATGAGGCTGTTTATTCAGAAAGATTAAGTGTGTTAGAATGTATTAATGCTAATCTGCTGCCTGGCAGAAGCTGAATGTAGAATACAGCCTGCACTTGGTAACAACCCACAGGGTGATAGTGATGCTGTTTCAGTCTGAATATTCCTACCAGGCATAGGCATGTGGGAGCAGTGGGAAGAAAGAAAGGAAAGGGGACAATAAGACACATCGACATGCTGTTAGAGCTGCTGTTTGGAAAGGTTGTATTCCCACCAGCTCCCTCCCCATTACAGCCAGCTGGCATGGCAGGAATCCAAGGCTAGAGACAGTGCTCAGGATCATAGCATTTCCTCCTGCCTCTCATTTTAATATACATACAAATTATCAAGTCTTACAAGCCTGTACTGCTTAACTTTCACAAGTGACTTACCATCTACAAACAGTCAATGTGCAGGAATTAATACGATTTCACTCACCTGTTGCTTTCTGTCTTTATTTGCCAACTATAATCACACTGATTTTACTGCATAAAAATTTTGGCTTTTATCCCAGTATGACACTGGTATTAATGCTTCTTCAGTTGGTTATGCTGATGGTGGATTTACGATGAGATGAAAGTGAACCAGTCACTAGTTTCATAGTTGAAAAATGCATACTGGAAGAAGATTTTAGACCATCTAATGCCATACTTCAGGTGTCCTTCTCTTCCATCACTCCATCCTTCCTCCTTTCAGGACTACTAGCTTCAGCACTAGAAGATGAAAGGACTGTTTCTCATATTGCTCACAACCATATTAGGCAATTTTGATATCCGTAACCTTACTTTCCACAGCACACAAAATGATTTATAATGTCAAATTTCTTGCATAGTGTTTCTTTCCTAGTCCTTATATTCCACTTAGTTTGAGCCTAGGTGGTGACTCATGCAGATCTAGATAATCCATTCGCTGGACAGTTCAGCTGACCCTGCTGTTTGGAAGCACTTGTCTTAAAGGCTAACAAATTAAAACCAAAACCAACCACCTGTAAATCAGAATGTGTCATGAACAATCCTATTCTCTAAATAAATGTCTCTGAATGTACATAGGACTGGAATTCTAATGTATTTAAGATAATTATCTGTTCCCTTTTCTGTTCCTTGCTTTTGAAGATGCATACTTAAAACCTTATCACTCTCATTTGGCTCCATGTTATGCTAGTCAAACTTGGAAATGGTGACTCATTTTCCAAGTTTCCCCATTGAGATGGTAAAAGAGCATTGTTAGACCAAAAATTCTGAGCCAAGATAAGTTTCTGAGGGAACAGAAGGTCAACTGTCTGCAAAGTTACCTTCTGTCATCAGGCAGCATGTTTTGAGACTCTCTCTATGTCACCCTGGAGAGGTGTAAAAACCAGAAAAACTAGTGAAATCAGGGAGATTATCATAAAAATAAGATACAGTAGATTTTGGAAAAGGAATTCTAAAAAGTAAACTTCACTTAAGTCTAGAACACAAAGATTGAGAAGAGTAAATAAATGAACAGCTAAGCAGGAGGTTCACCCTACACCTGAACCTATCTCTGATGAAAGTCTCAGGTTGCATGCAGATGGAATTGTACATTAATTAGGTTTCAAGTGCTCTGAAAATAGGGGATATGATACAATACAGAGAAATGGACAAAACAGATCAGTGGAAATTTGTTCCAGATGGCAAAATGGAAATATTTTTGTTATTAGGGACCTTGAATTCCAGAAATGGATTTTTTCATTGCAATTATCTATAAAAGCTAGAACAGTTAAATTCTAAAATAATTAACCAGATTGATTGGACTGACAGGGCAAACTTACACAAGTAAGTTAAAAATTCCTATGAAAGTTCCTGGGCACTGAGACAAACTAGCATGGGAACGGTGCACATGTACACTAGTAAATTCTTCTAACAACCAAAACTATGTGGCTGCATACAAATTACTTATTGGAAATGGTTCCTGGGATGTTCTAACTTCCAAACTATACCTATGAAATACCTGCAAGTGTGCTAGCTGGCACCTGTCAAAATCATGTCAAAGAACATATTACTCATTTCTAGTACAAATGATTGCATTCCTGTCTCCAGTTCTATTTAGTTTATTAGCATCCCAGTATCTTTGCTTTCAGTACATATAGAACAGCTCATTGGCTTATTTAAGAAAATGGAAATTAGCATAAGTAAAATCTTGCTCACTGTTAGAGACAGAATCCAATTATTTTCCGGAAGCAATGACTTTTACTTAGAAACTGAGACGATCTGTTTCCCAATATTGCCTCCATTCATCATGGACTGGAAAGCGGCTTCAAGAGAAATAATGAAGTAAAAGTTAATGCCAAGCAAAATGTGCCACAAATGGCAGAAGCAAATGTATAAAACAGCTCCCCAAAAAGGAGAGATCACACTTTGGACCTAAACATATTTATTGTTAATGATAAGTTAAATTAAGAAAAAAAAAAAAAAAAAGCTACTCTGTAATAAACTGAGTAATTAAAAAAAAAAACTATTTGTAAGCAACTGTTTGGCCCCATACAAATTAATGATTACATCTGCTGCTTTTGTGACACGCCGTACGAATACCACACAGACAAGGCATGACTGGAAAGCCCACAGATGCTGTGGGTTTCACAAACTTGTGAAAGGAAAATGTTTATCAATACTCTGTGTAGTACAACAAATGCAAGAAGCTCGTGCAAAAAAGATAAATCTTTGAGTATACAAAGTATGAAATATGACTGCTATATTTGATCAAATTCCTACTAAATACCTGTCTCTACCAGTAAGTAGCAACTACTAGAATAAATTTAAATCTGTAAGATTTGGCTGTTGCTTAATTCTGTTGTTTCCAATCTTGTGGGACTAAAGCCTAGATGGGCTAACTCATACTCTTCCCTGTTAGTTGAACGGGGAGCATTCTTACAGCACATCTTGAATTACCTGGCTCTCTAGCTTTTTTTTGCTGGAGCTCCAAGACCCACTTCATTTTTTGTATTTTCATTGTTACGTAGTTTTTGAACAGGCTACAGGCTATTTTGTTTCTTTAAAATAATTATTTTTTTATTATTTTTGTTTAGCAATCTCTAATACATTTTCCCCTTTCTTGTGTGTACTTTTCCATTTATTTTTTGTTAGCAAATCCAATAACAAGCACTGTTTAAGATTGGGTTTTTTAAAGCATAAGTTGAAGGTTTCCAAAATACCATTCATTTTCTTACACCCAAGTTCTAAGAAGTGGACAGCACTTTAAATCTGTAAGATCAGGATGACCATCATCAGCTGCTAAGGTAGCAGTTTAACAGTTCCTTCCCATCAGTGAAACAAACCTCCCCCCCCTCGAAATTTATATTCAGTGATTTTTTCCTTAGAAAATGGTGTCAAAATCTTACCACCAATGTTTGCCAAGCCTTCTACCACGGTCTCTCTGACCTGTCAATGCAAACAAGTTCTTTTAAGCTTTCTTCAAACAAGATTAACATTTCCTACAACTGTGCCATGAAACTGCCACAGAAACTACCAAAATCTAAAAGATCCTCTTGCTACAATGGTCAGTGCTTTGTTTGGGTCAGATTCTTTTGTCAAGAGAGGAGTGAATATTTTCTCATAAACCTGTAGGTGATTTAATTCTTCAATCAGAACTGGAACATCCCTGACCTTGCCAAAATTTCATGTCTCCAGATTTTCCCGGGAAAATTTACTGATCACCTGAAAAATCAAAAACTAATTTACACCTCACAGGCAAGGGATGGATAAAGCATCCACCCATCACAAAATAATAAATGGTGATTATAAAGCTTCAAAGAAAATTTCAGACAAGATCCCCAAAAGCATGCAGGACAGTAACTAATCAGGTATTTTAAAGTACATATTTTTGAAGGTCTGATCCCTTAAATAAAAAAGCCCTTACACCCTATGCGGAAAGAAAGAATACAGACTTCAGCAGCATGTATTTAGCAGCATGTCTGTCACACTAATGACACCATTCTCAGCAGGTACCTACTAAAACAGTGCTACCAAATAAGCTTTCAATTATACTTACACATTCTTAAGAAAATCTGTCCAATTCTGAGGCAAGACAACCAGGGACAAAGAAACTGGACCAAAGGCCACAGATTTAAATGTAAAAATTCTTACCTTCAGTTTACCCTCTTGGATCCACTGGCAGAGTTGTAATATACTAGCTTCTTGTTTGTCCATATAGTTCAACACTAAGAATCTTTCCCTGAGAAAGAAAAGAAAGAGCCTTGATTTAAGAAAGGTTGTCAAGCAGATTTTGAAATCTTTACAAATCTTTTCAGGAAACAGCATTATTGAAACTGAAGGGTTATGAGTACTAATTACAATGAGACATAGCTGGAGCTTTGCCAGCTTGTTGAGACAGCTCTCTGCAGTGGGAGCTTGACAGTAACATCGGTCTTAGGCAAGTAATTCTGTTCAAGTATCAGAGAGAAGATTAATAAAAATCAAGTGCTATTGCCAGAATAAGGAAATATCCATAAAATGTGAGTGAATTTCTGTTCTTTTTTACTTTTTTTTTTGTGGTGGGGAGAATAATTAATGGAGCTGCAACTAGGTGGCGAGAATGAATTAACTTTCAGGCTCTGCATATCCTGCTTTCACAGCTGTCTATAGCAATCAAGAGAAATGGAAATGATCATCAAAACCAGTAATTACTTGTAGCAATGTACTGACTAAAATCTCCACTGCCTTCTACTACACATGGGGCATTTTAGTATTTTTATCCATTTTTTAAAAGTGCAGACAACAGTAACAGGGAAATTTCATTTAGAAGGGGCCAATCTGTTTGCACAGGAATCAAAAGTCTCCCCAACTTTCTGCAATGCAATGAATAAAAAATATGCTAAGACTTTGTTCCTAGTTTCTGCCTTAGCTCCACCTGAATCCTGACAGGATATTCAGCAATTCCCAGTTGTAACAAAAAATCAATGTTTTATCTGTATATAGCTGTCCCACCTACAGTCTCCTTATCTAATAAACCCCCAAATACTAAAAATGTAATTTCAATACAATGACTGCATCAGCTGCATCCTTTTTTAAAAAAATATTTTATTTTCTCTCTGCCTGAACTACTACACTTGGAGAAAAGGCACTCTGCAAAACATCTGAGAACAGAACCACAGCAACACCTTCCCTCCGACTGAAGAATCTGTCAGAGACTCTAGGACTAAATCACACAACCACAAAGCATAAGAACAGACAGCTATGTTAGCATGTAACAACATCCTTTCCCATTTTTTGTGCTGATACAGGCAAATGTAAGAGGAAAGATTTACTGACGCTGTGATTATAGTTTCCTTTTTTAGTATGGCAACATTCTGTTCTGATTACACGTGCCTATTGTGGATCTACAGGCTACCTTCTGAACATCAGAGTCACAAGATCATGTGCGAAATCTACCCAGAACCTGGTCACAAGTTCTGGAGGAGAAATGTACCTTGTGATATTCCTTTCTTTCTGTATTTTTTCTATGTCAGGAGGCAGCGGAGGAGGATAAGGCACATCTTTGTTATACTGAGAAATCTGTCCACACAGAATGATGTGGCTGTTCTGATTCATCTGTTTGGGACAGCACACAAAGTGAGAAAATTTACATTCCTTGGTATCAGAAACTAAATGTTCCAGAGATGCAGTAGATTATATTGCAGATTTTTCACATAGGTATCCTTATTCAGAGATGCATTTCCTAGAAAAGAGTGGGAGAATTGCAGGCAGTCCCCTTCAAGCTCTGGCAACATTCAAATCGATAAATGCAGGGCTATAGTGGAAAAATAAATGCTATACATTCTATGTGTAATTTTAGAAGGCATTAAATACAAGGAATACAAGAAATTGTTATCTTACTGTGTGTGCCCTTTTTGTCAAGAGGGAAGGGGTAATAGGACAAAGAAGTTTGATACAGCTGTGATTTAGAGCTCCCAAAGATGGCACTGCCACCAAAGCCTCCTGGCCATGAGACAGGATAGTTTCACGTTAACAATGAAGAGGGCTGGTCAAGAGTCTTTGTGGAGGCCCAGCAGAGCTGGTCTTTTGTGAAGAAACAGAGCTGACAAAACACAAGATTACTACACTGACAGACAAGGCTTTTAGAATATTACCAAGTCTCCTGGACAAAGAAGTGAGAGACAAGAAGCAGAAATTGTGTTTCTATTTACTATACTGCCAAGCTAGTCCATATGACAGACACTGATTTCAAATATCTGATTTCTCCTCAGGACCAGGATCAGCACCTGGATTAGATCAATGAAGTGGAAAGCCTGCTCTGCTGTATTGCAGGCTGGTCTCTAGTATGAATTAATTCAAAGCTGGGCACACAGACACTGGAGAATGACAACAATAAACCCGACAGCTGGTATAATCACCTGACTTATAACTGTATCACTGATGTCTCCACCAACATTGTCAAAGTAAACATCCACACCGCCTGGGCAGAGTTCACGTAGCTGCTCTGCCACATTCCCCTTCTTGTAATTGATAGCAGCATCAAAGCCCATTTCTTGGACCAAAATGGAGCACTTTTCATCTGTGCCAGCAATCCCTACCACTCTAGAGCAGCCCTCCAGACGGCCAATCTGCAGCAGTACAGTTAAAAAAACAAACAAACAAAAAAAACCCGGAACAATAAAGAGAAGTTAGATCGTGCATCTGCACAAAGGTACCAGTGGGAGGAAGGGGGCCTTAGGGACGTTACAGTTATCCCCCATCCCACTAAAACCCAGGCAGTAAAGTTCAGTGCATGCTTCCATCTCCTCTTGTCATTCCCTCCTCACACCTAGGGAAGGGGCAGGTACAACCAAAATCTGCCATCCTGCCAAACTCACTGACTGCAGGAGGTTTAGTCTGCAGAGTCACCAATGATTGGCGGTACTGGGGAGCCAAATACAATCTAAAATCACCATCTGCCAAGTACCATAACATAGATAATAGAAGGCCAAAAAGATTGGACAATAATCTATTTAAATACGTTCTTCATAGATTTGCTTATGCATTGTTTCTACATAGCTCCTTTTTATTAGTAAGTTTTAAGCTTGCTTACTATCTATTGTGTTTGTGTTTCTCTGTATATATAAATATTTGGAGATATGTACATACACACACACAAACACACCCACATGGTCTGCAAAGCTGAGGAGGATAAAAGGGCTGTAAATCTCAAAACGCAAAGGATGTAATGGAAAATAACACAAAGAGGGGTTTACTACATTTTTTTACTATTTTCAAATATAGAAAAAAGAAAGTTGCCGATCAGCTCAAAAACTGTGTTCAAATGGCAGACTACTATATAAATACATAGTAAATACATGCATTTATCTCATTCACTTTATTTATGCTCATGATAAGTAATCACCTTGGGCCATTTTCTCCTATTCCAGTTTCATAACACTGAAGTTTCACACCTAAAATCTATTTCAGTGAGAGTGTGAGCCAAATCAGTGAAACTGGCCCTTCCAGTTACGTGGAGTTATACTTGCTCACATTTACAAGCATTTTATCTGTACGTTTACTAACCAGCATGTTTCAGAATATGAACTTGGTAACAGAGTATGCTTGTATGTCTTCAGCCTACCTACCTGGCCAGCCAAAGAGCCGCAGGCACCGGCTGCTCCACTCACCACCATTGTCTGATTTGCGCCCTTAGCCACATGTCCTTTCTCTTTTATACCCAACAAGGCCGTCAGTCCTGTGATGCCAGCTGCACCGAGAAAGTAGGAAAGGCGTCCATTGACAAGTTGTGGAACAAGCTGCAAAACAGAAGCATGTGGTGGTGTTCGTTTCTTTTTAAGGTGAGGTTTTGCTGTTTGCTCTTTGACTGAGGACAGGTGACTCTCTTCTGAGAGGTACGGAGGCACCCATTTGCCGACCTGACCCACTCTCTAGAGAGGGGTGCTACTTGCCAGGGGCTCGTATCAGGGATGTCACCGAGAGACTACCAAGCCTCATACAGCCCACTGTCATCCCCTGCTGTTGTTTCATGTGGGCACTAGTGACACAGCCAGGAGCAGCCTGAGGAGTATCACAAAGGATTACAGAGCCCTGGGAGAGGCGGGAAGGGACTCTGGAGCACAGGCAGTTTTCTCATCAATCCTCCTGGTCAAAGGGAAGGGGTCTCAAAGGGCCAGTAGAATCTGGCGAGTCAGCAAGTGGTTGCAGGAGTGGTGCCACAGCCAGGGGTTTGGCTACTTAGACCATGGGACTTGCTTTGAGAAACTTGGTCTACTAGGGGCCGATGGATTCCATCTGTCAGAGAAGGGAAGAGCATCCTGCCTGAAGGACAGGCTGAGGGAGTTGGGGTTGTTCAGCCTGGAGAAGAGAAGGCTCCAGGGAGACCTTATAGCAGCCTTCCAGTACCTGAAGGGGGCTACAGGAGAGACGGGGAGGCACTCTTTTTCAGGGAGTGTAGCGGTAGGACGAGGGGTAATGGTTTAATTTGAAGGAGGGTAGATTTAGATGAGATATTAGGAAGAAATTTTTCAAGTGAGGGTGGTGAGGCACTGGCCCAGGTTGCCCAGAGAAGCTGTGGATGCCCCATCCCTGGAGGGGTTCAAGGCCAGGCTGGATGAGGCTTTGAGCAACCTGGGCTAGTGGGAGGTGTCCCTGCCCATGGCAGGGGGGTTGGAAGTAGAAGTAGATGATCTTTAATGTCCCCTCCAACCCAAACCATTCTATGATAGAAAGACTAAGTTAGGATATTTTTCAGGCAAGATACAACTGGTAGGGACAAGCTAGCTGAAACAAATATTATCTTCCATACTGTTAGAAAAAAATTTTGTAAACAAAGTCACTTGCCTGAACTCTAATTATGGAAGTGTCAGAAAGCAGTTGGGAGATAAGGAGTTTCCAGCAACGGTGAATCCTTTTGTTAGCATAAAGGATAAAATAGCACCGTTTTATCAAATATTGCAATTGTAGATCAGTGGCAGAGGGTCCTGAAGGAAGAAGCTTATTGAAAATTGTACATTCTTAAACCACAATAATTTTCTGTGTTACATGAGGATGATGAACACAATGTACCTAATGCACTGTTACCTGTCCCCATTCAACTTAATGTTGAATACCCTTTCTTCTGTGGATGTAAAATCTCAAGCACAAGCTTTCACTAACACATGTTACTGAAATAAATTGAATTCAGATATATCTAAAGACTTAAGTCTTAGGACTACATTCTAATGGATCCTATTCTAACTAGAGTTAGTATGATTAATAGAACTAATTAACAGAAGCAGTTTTGGGGAAATTTATTAAAAATCCAACAATTGAAACAATACTGGCAGATCTGTGACCAAAAAAAAAAAGGATTCACATTTTAATTTGTTAAGAAAAGAGAGAAACTGATGCAGATTTTTGCCACCAGTGAATTGATCTTCCTTTTGAGTATTGCTTGCTCCAATAATGTTGGCTTGTTTTTTACTAAGAAATTTTAAAAAATAGGGTTAGGAAAAGACAACAGTGACAATCGGGGCTTTGCATTTACATTACCTTTTGTAGTGAGCTTCCATCCAGAATGGCAACAGTCTGCCAGGGCCAAGTGAAGGAAGTTACAAAGTCTCCTTTAGCAAGGTTATCATGCTTGCTCTCCTCCACAACTCCGACGCCCCCACCATCAGCAACTTCAGACAGCTGCCAGGGCAGGAGGTAATCTGAGCCCGTATCCTCATTCATTCGGCAACGCTGAAATGCAAGGCTTTAATGAGAGGCTCTCGTGGACACATTATTTATAAGTTCAAATGAAGTTGGGGATATGCTTAGAACTTCAAACGCAAAGGGCTACTCAAAAAATCTCTCAATAAGCCCCAAATATTAATCATCTTTTCTTAGATCCCTCTTTCCCCTCTTGTTTGCTCAGTACATAAGGACCATTCTGATCTTCTCCAGCAGCGCCACCAAAGCCAACACATTCTATAGATGCTATCTCAAAGTCAGCCGTGCAACCAAAGACAACTGTCTTGGATCTGATGAGAATCTAAAAATGCCATTCCTTAACTGGATGAATCGTAAGAAATGTAGGACTGAAAAAAGGACCCACAAGTCATTTAGTCCGTGCCTATTCACTGAATAACAGGCAAATATAATATTTAAACTGTCCCTGACAGAGATCTGTTTAATGAACCATCTTGAAATCCAAATTCTTTTCTTTATATCTCCCCCTGTAGCCTGAGTTAGTACTTCAAGATTCTTAAACTTTTCCTTAATTCCCAAGCTAAACCTGCATTCCTGAAATTAAGACTTTCTTTTCTACTATCTCCATCTATAGAGGGAACAAATGGTGAGAATTCTATTTATAGCAAACTTTTACACACTAGTAGACTGGGTCTGTCTGGTTCTCCTCCTATCTTCGCTTCCATTTCAACCCACAACTCTCCCAACCACATGATTTCTACATTTTTGCAGAATTAGGTGCAAGTGCTGGTTAGGGCTTCATTCACTGATCCTCTCTGTTTCCATTGTTTACAAATTATTGACACATTTTTGTCCTGCCATCATCCACTCAAGAAGAAAATCTAACTTTCATTTGTAAATGAAATTGTTAATAGCTACAAAACATTTAACTTGAATAATTTACATGTTTTATCTAGAAATTTTTTGTCTGATCATGTCCCTCTCTTGCTTCATCATGAAATATTCTTCCTCGTCTACCCACATTCCCCTCAACTGAAAAATACTTCCTTCCATGGCAAAAAAAAAAAAAGTTTTAAAATGTATATAAAAAAGGCAAAGTTCAGAAAAAGCTGATACAAACAATTCTGTAATGGTGTGCCACAGCTCACAGTCTCTTCCTGGTCCTAGAAAGTCATATTCCTATATATATCACAGGCATATTAATGCCAAATTCCTTCCCAATACAATTCCATCAGAATTAATAGAATTACTAAGTTATACTAGAGATATATTTGTTCTATAATTGGTGTTAAACATCATGATAGATACAGAGTTGAAGATATTTTAAAAAACAAATTTTGGCTTAGCTCTAAGTCCATCACCTACCATGTAAGGGTCCACAGAGAGATAAAGGGTTCTAACACGCACTTGTCCCGCTTGGATCGTATCTGCTATTGCACTTTGTTCCAGTCGGAAGTTTTCAGCCACTGGCACGCCATTCTTACCTAGAATTATTTTAAAATCAAACAAATAAATGAATCAATATAGAGCTTCCCTTAATCAATATGGGAAGGCCTTTTTTTAAGGCAGTCCTTTTAAAAATAAGTTAGGCTGTATCTTTACTCAGGTATAAATCTACCAATCAACTTTCAGATTTTGTTATCACAGACTACGATTTAAATGGGTGCACTGCCACCACCCAAACTGAAGACCCACTGATCTGTCAGCTTATGCTTACCTGGGAGAGCACCAGGCACTTGCACTGACTAACAATTTCCATGCTGTTTGCTGCACATCATTTTTATGAACAATTAGGCCAAATTAAAGAAAAAAAGGGGCTGTTCTCATTCTCAAAAAATGGTTCTAGATACCCTATGTGCTGAAAAGCCCCTAACTTTCAAAACAAAGACACGCATTGGGACTTCTCCCACATAACAAAACCATTGTGCACTATTTCGTCACTAGCAAATGACCATAAATTTTAATGAGGTAAGTTTTGAATTCTCACCCTTCAGTCTCTTTTGACTCACTGAGATTGGGGGAACACAGACCATTGCCACTGCGCATGCATATGCTGCAAAAGCGTACCTTCACAGCTACAGCCAGACCTCTTGAAATTAAAGCTTCCCAGAAACATCTATGAAATGTATGCCAAGAGCCCCTGAACTGGATGCTTCATCCTCAGGTTGGTACCACATGCAGTGGATCAAACAGACTCACAACTGGCACCAAAAGGAGAGAGACAGATACCCAGGTATGTTTTTAAGTCAGAGTGACTAGGCGACTACAGGAGGCTACTGCTGTCACATTTGATTTGCATTGGAAAAGACTTATTTGCAGTCACACAATATTTCTTACGTCTCAGGACTATTTTGACACTGAACAAGCATACAATACTGCCCCAAAAACTTGGTGCACACATGTGAGTCTTTTACAAAAGAAAATTTATAAACTCACTATTCAAAACATTGTGTTGACATCCATAACAAGGTAAATGTTTAAGCAAAGAAGTATATAAATCCTCAAGAGTGTAAATTTTAAAATCACACACTTTGAAACATGGGAGAAGATTCAATATTTACTAAAAGGAAACAAAAATTAACAATAACAAGATACTTTATAGTTAACTCTTAAAATGCAAAAAGAACAAATGTCAGAACGACAAAGCAATGCTTGTTTATCTTTCTTCACTTTGAGTCCCTACATTTAGGGTTTTCTCATATATTTCATATTCATATATATATCATTAACCTTTTTCCCCCTCACCCAAGAGTTTAGAAATCTCTATATACAGACTAAATAAATACACTTCACAATAAACTTTATTTATTGCTGCATGCAATATTAAGATATATAAGTGTCAATATCTTAAGTTAGTGTCTGTTTCTACCCTCACCATTTCGGAGCATTAGGCAACTGTAACAAGCACATTGCTCCTGTACAGGAGAGAAATACATACCAGGGCGTGAATTCAGCACTACTCTCTGTATAATCATCCCTGCGTTTGCAGCAATTTCACACTGGGTTTCTACAAAGGAAAACATTGAAGGAGTGAAACAAATTTTCATTAAAAATAATATGAAGCAGTACTTAGTAATTTGGAAACTGGGGATGAGATACTGGCCCCACCAACTTCAGCATCTATGCCCAAGAATCATATAAAACAACCTCAAAACAACCTCAAATGTAAAATAAACAAACTTGTGAATAAAGAGTTTCCTCGTTTATCTTGCTAAAGCCGTGATTTTATACATCACTGTAGCACCTTTTGGAAAGACTGAAAATTACAATGTACCATGCTCCTTTTAAGATCATAACCACCCCGCTACCAGGTTGTAGGAGACATGTTTGGTTTGCTTTCCTGTGCTGAGAACACTCTGTTCCCACCTAAAAGACACAGAGGCAGTTTTGCATGCGTAACTCAGGTGCAACTCAGTAAAAGGCGTGCACAGGTGCCAGTAACAGCAATATGCAGGTCTATGATACAAGGAGATTGTTGTGTAAGATGTTGCACATGAAATAGCAAGTCCTTCTATTAGCAGTGCATTTTCTCCTAAGAAATGGTCTGGCCCAGAGATGAATTAGATGACCATTTCATCTGTTTGACTGAAAAATTTCTTCTTGAATTTCAACAGTTTAAAAGAAGACTGTAAATTTGTGTTCTTGCAACCGTGAGATGCCAAAGTGATTAACAGAGAATTAACCTGATTTAACAGGAGAAAAACCACCATCTCATATGCTTTCAGAGCTAATACAAAATAAAAATGTTCTTACTACTATTCTCAGCTGAGTGCCATAAATAACCAACCTGCACCAGAACCAAAGGCATTAAGGAATGAAACATGATAGCTGATGTCTTTGTCAGAATCTTTATTTTGCCGACATGAACAGCAAATTGGAGTGAAGCTAAAAAGATGAGCCTAGAAAGAGTACATCGTTATCACTTATCCAACATCTTTATTCTTTGAACATGCAAAACTCAGAACTTTGTTTGTACTGTTATAGTGCTTACATTACAGCGCTCACAGACCATCACGAACTACAACTTGGAGTGCTGAAATACACAATCTAAAAATGTTATCAGGAGAAAGTGGTCATATCCCTGGCCTTTCCCTCTCCTCTGAAAGCCACAACTGACTCAAACACCTTGTTCATAAGCCACATAAATGTCTAACGTTTGACTATTTGTATTTGCACATGAGAAGCTACTTATCAGGCAAAAATTATTCAAGAGGTAGTTTCTTTTCAGTATTTCAACACCTAAGGGGGCTACAAGAAAAACTACAATAAATGGATCTCAAATGTGTCTTTACAGCATCACATCAGTGAAAAATAAGTGACCTGAACACTTCTTTGGACAGAACAATGTAGAACATCAGTCTACAACAAGAGGAAAAAAATTCCACACTTTGATGAAGTTAGTAGTTACTGTTTAAAAGCAAAAAATTAGGATTGAAAATGCAGTAGTTAACAGTTAAAGAGAGAAATAAAAACCCATTTTTACACCCACACAGCTGATACAATCTCTGGATAAATATACTCATGTAAAACCCTAACAGGAAGGATGGCCTAAGATAAACTTTGGCAGATCTTGGGTTCCACATCTTACTCAACTATAGACTTCCTGTGTGATCATGGACATGTCACTTTGTACTTCTTTTATAAAATATTTTTCAGAATAAAATTCCAAATTCCTCTTGATGTAATTTTGCTAGGCAAGTGTTATCCTACTGGTACAGTTGTTGTCCCCAGAGCAATTGTCTTAGTATCTGAGAATTTGTGCCAATTCAATGAGCATTTTATAAACTGTCAGATGTGCTCAGTGCAATTTAAAAGGACAACCATACTCTAGTAAACAATTTGCACACATACAGAACTTGGCTTAAGTTTATAACCACTAATGAAACTGCTCTGTGCAGAAATAATGAGTTAAGAATGCAGTGAATATAAACTAACAGCGATCTGACAGCTCACATGAAATCTGGGCAAATCATTCCTCTATTTACTATTCATATTCAGTTCAGACCTATCCGTGGTGTTAAGGGTTTGATCCAGTTTACAAACCATACAGAGAGGGCAGAATTGTTGTACAGCTCATGCCTTACAGAAAGGCCCGCTGCCAGAACTGCTGACTCAATTTTTGTTATCCTGATACTAAATACCTGTATTATGCAAACACAAAACCCCAATCTGAACAGGTGCTGATGAAAAGCATTTTTATTGTGCCTACCACATACTTTAAATACCTGCTTTCTATGACAGCACAGAGAAAAAATACAGTGCTTAGGAAAAAAAAAAAAGCCAAAGATATTAACACATTAAGAGAAAGAAAAAGCAATACAGAGTGGCATAGAAAGATAAGAGTGGAGAAAGTATACAATGCAAATTTAGATTACTTCTTTCAATGTTTGACCTGAGGGAACAAAAATGCCATTGATTTCCCAGGTCATTTTCACAGCTTTTGGTTGAGAAGCCTGTGTACTGATTCAGTTTGAAGACTTTCCAGATACTGTGAGTGGGTGGACAGAAAGCGAGGCTGGCAAATGAATTGTCACTCATTCTATGACAGCTGTAACAGTACAATACAGCCCTGGAGATGGACATTTACTTCTAAATATGACTCCACTTACTCTACCGTGGAAGTCAGTAATGTCATTACACAAGCAAATGCTCACACTAGTATCATGACATAATGAGACACAATCAAACTGTCTTCACATTACAAACAATACCAGTAGAGGCACCATCCTTTAGCACTGTAAACTGAAGAAAGCTTTTGGAGAACAGATTTTTTAAAAGCGAACTGAAGTGGATTTGTATCATATACATAATCCTTTTCAATATATATGTAATGCCAGTGTGAAGGATGCTTTTGACTCTTTTTCTTTTTTTAAGACCAACAGGAAGCAACATGCATTACTATTTTTTTAGCTTTTCCAAACAAAAATTATCTGAGTTGGCTTTACTCTTTAAATCAAATTGAGTGAAAATTACTTGCACGTTTTAACATAATCATTCTGTGCCAAGATCACCTGACCTACCCTGTGAGTACAGAAGCATTGAGCAGCACACAGCAGTACCATCAGGGGAGTCTCAGATGTTTTAGCCCAGTTTTATTCTTACCCCTTCTCCCCTTGCTTTTCCCATTTTTGCACAGAGACACAAGACAGCTCCTTTTAAAAATGTTCAATAAATACCTCAGTGCTACAATGCTCCAGTTTATTTGTTCTGGGCTTGGTTCCTAGAACTTTCAGTTTCTGAGATTGCCATAAGACACTGTTTTCAGTTGCATATACTTTTGCCAAAATAATTCAGCTGCTTCCAGGTTGTTAGAGCCCATGCCAGGTGCAGTTCAGTAAAAAAAGGAATACCAGGTATTTATCGCTCCAGTATCAGGCACAGGCAGCACGGCTGCTGAAGGCAGTCAATCTAAATGGAGGACAAGAAAGACTGGAAATCTTCTCAGAGAAAACTCAAAGAATGAAATTTTAAGAAAAAATGAGGAACATGCAGGAAGGAAAGACGGGAACGACTGGCACAAGGAATCAGTGAGAAGAGAAACATGGCAAGATTAGCAATTTGAAGGCCAGTAAAGAACAGAAGAGAGACCTGGAGAAAATGGAAACAACAAATGAGGAGATGGAACCAAGGAAACTGAGATGGGAATGGCTGGGCAAGAAGCAAAAAAATGGGGACTATAACTGACAAGGTGAGGAGAATGGAGATAGAAAAGCAAAGGTAATGAATTGGGCATCAAAGCGTCCACCACGGCCCTAAGAAGCTCTGCATTTGAAGAATGTTAATTAAATTGCAAACTCAAGTTTTCAAAAAGTAGAAACCAGAATAAATACTGACTGTCATGAATGGAGCCATAAAAAGATAATGTGCCATAAAAAGATAAGTACTTTCATGAACTGAACTAATACATCCAGATTTCTTAATGTTTTGTGTCTCATCATTGAGTTCTCTGGTGTGACTGAAGTTCCTCCCATAGCGTTTTCTCTGACACACTATAAGAGCTGAAGGCAGGCTGCCGTCGGTGGTGGGTTAACCTTGGCTGGACACCAGGTGCCCACCAAGCTGCTCTATCACTCCCATCCTCAGGACAAGGGGGGAAGAAAATAAGATGGAAAGAACTCATGGGTCAAGATAAAGGCAGTTTAACAAAGCAAAAGCTAAGGCTGCGTGCAGAAGCAAAGGAAAACAAAATAATTTATTCTCTACTTCCCATCAGCAAGCAATGTCCGGCCACTTCCAGAGAAGTAGGCCTTTAGTACACATAGAGGTTGCTCCAGGAGACAAAAGTTATATTAACAAATGCCCCCCTCCTCCTCCTTTCTCTTAGATTTTATGGCTGAGCAGATGTCATATGATATGGAATACCCCTTTAGTCACTTTGGGTCAGCTGTCCTGGCTATGTCCCCTCCCAAGATCTTGCCTACCTCCTAGCCTATTGGGGGGGGAATGTTCGGGAAACAGCCTTGATGCTGTGTGAGCACTGCTAAGCAGTAGCCAAAACACTGGTGTTATCAACATCTTTCTAACTACCAATACAACACACAGCACCAGGAGGGCTGCTATGGGGAAAATTAACTCCATCTTAGCCAAACCAAATACACAGTCTTTCCCTCAAGAAAGAAACAGGTGAAAAAGAATGACAATAGACAATATTGATCCAGCCATCTTCTTTTTTTTTTTTTTAAACATTCCCAGAAACCTAATATCTTTGAGCTTTTTATCAAATCTGACTGACATACAGAGCAGAAGTTCCAGTAAGTATACACAGCAGGATTGTATAAACTTCACTTTTTCAGATCTAGGTGTCAAAAAAGCTGAAAGTTCTCAGGTACTACTTCTTGGGCTTTTTTTTTTTTTTTTTAATAAATAGCTGCACTTTATGGGAATTGCTGAAAATTGTTTAAAAAAAAAAAACCACAGAAGGCCTATTTTTTTCTTAGCAAAATTTCAAGTCCAGAATGAACACAAGAATGCAGATTGCTGCCAGAAAGGCAGGAACCTCACTT